TTATTGGGTATGGTCCGAGTGACAGCGGTTGAGATGGCGGATTAGTTGTCTGTTTTGTGTAAACAATTCTTATTTATTTATGTGGAATTAGTGTAAAATAAGAACTGAAACACGATCATTTTGAATTATGGAAGAATAAAATCTTATTATTTATAATTGAATACATTATGTATTCAATTACTAACGTATTAAAATAAAAATCGATAACCTAAATAAAATAATAAACATATCTGAGACGAACCCTTTGTTAGGTTTTAATAATTAAACGATAAAATTAATAACAAAATCGTTTAAACGCTTTCCGCTATCTGTGGCGACGTACAGAACTATAGTCAAACTGGGTTACAGAACAAAGAGGTGTTTATGAATTCCGCACCACTAAGAAAGTAACAAAATACTTTTGACCCAAACTTTTCGGAACAATAGTCTTTATCTCCTTCCACTGAACTACGAATTTGATAAGTCGTGAGAAACGCAAACAGCTCGCTCGCGAGGCCTCGGACAGGGCTGCCATTGTTACATTATCTATTGACTATACATCACTTCACGATGACGATAGGGCTGTACAAGTTCACTCGTATTTAAAATACGTAACCTCTTTGAATCAATCCGTTATAACTGTGAATGTTAATGTCCATATAACTATGGACGTTTATTAGAAGGTATCTCGCTATTTGGCATGTAACAGTCTGCAAGAACACATAGGATACTAATTCTGTTTTCTTTCCGTGTAGACGGAGTCGCGGACGACAGCTAGTAATCTGATATAGATATAGTTATATAACAAACAAAAAATGTTAAAGTGTCAAACTCAAAGTGGATGTTTAAATAAACTAATTAACAAAGCTTAAGTATTGTCTGTTTTTTATGTGCAATTTTTCTAAGTACAGTTAAAGGTACATCCCTAGTAGATAGCGAAAACTTTATGAATACGCATATAAATAGCGATTGCGTGGGAGCAATCAAATGGGTCGAATGATAACTTTGTTATGTCTATTCATCTTTTGTAGTCTGATAGATTCCTAATAGTCCCGCGACCTTCGAACTTTATTGTTCATTTAGAATACGAATCTTAGGTAACAATTAATAAATGTATGGAGAAGGAAATAGATGCTTTGTATGGAGATTAGGATGTATGACAATAAAGTAATAGTTTGTAAATATTTTTGATCTAACCATTGGCGATTCTGTCCGCGCGTAATAAAAAAAACTTACTAGCCTAAACTTCTTCCAGACTGTGTTCTTGACTATGCCAAATTTCATCGAGATCCGTTAAGCCGTTCTGAGAGAGATAGCTTCAAACAAACATCCATCCATCCAAACATTTTTATAACTAGCTGTCGGCCGAGAATCCGTCTGGGTTGAATTTAAAAAAAATACTTATAAGTCTATGTGTTCTTCTAAACTATGCTCCACATCTATCCTAATTTTCAGCGAGATCCATGCAGTCGTTTTGGATATTCTAATAAACATCCATCTAAACATTCGCATTTATAATATTAGTAAGAAGTAAGATATCAGGATTTACATCAATGGTTTCTTTTTCTTAAGATTTGAACGTGTTTTTGAACCTACATACAATTTCCGATGGGCTAATTTGATTGAATATTTATAAAAAAATTGCCACATCATTTTCTTATGTATTTGTCGACAATGATTATGTCGTAGTCGTATTAAGTATATTTCATTGATTAGAACTAGTTATATTTTTTTTCGGGAGCATTCGATATTTTTTTAATGGAAACTCTGTCGTTAGATGATAAAACATTAATTATGCACAACACTAAACTTGAATTAAACGAGCGAATTGAAAGCCTTCCTGAATAACAGGTGCGGTATTCTGAAAAAGCCCAGAGCGGCGTGTAATAACGTTTTTTTCACACAATCGTGAGCTGAAAATATAAACCGACAAAGGTCAGGCGCCGGGCTACATAATTTATCCCTCACTCCCCCCCAATAAATACTTATTTTTGCAATAACATTTATCCAATTTTCCTCAGGATATAAATTTGTTCATTATGTTATAAATTATATATATATGAAATATTACGGAAATTTTGTACAAAAATATCGTACGTAATATTATAAAGAGAAGAGATTTGATTGTTTGTTTGTTTGTATTGAATAAGCTCCGAAATTATTGAACAGTTTTGAAAAATTCTTTCACTATTTGGAAGCTATTTACGTGATAGTATAATTTTAGTACATTTTCTTAATGCGCGGACGAAGTCGCGTGCAACTACTAGTATATAACATTGATTAATTATCATGTCTTACTCCAGAATTCAACAGAATTAATCTGGATGAAATTTATAAAAAAAAGATGTATTATTTTGGAATAACGTAAAGGTTACTAACTGAACTTCTACATATTTCACCCGGACGAACTTGCAAGCAAATCTAGTGATAATATTTAAACGTAATTATGTAAGGAGGAACTTAAATGGATCTGAACTACCCCCAATTAATATTACACCGCGTACTCACTTCAAATTTGATATTGACACACTGGCATGGATTAAGTACTCGTATATGATTCACGAAGTACAAAGTAACGTATTCCCAAGTCTGTCGGCTTATATTACACTTTGAGAGAACTTTAATAAGAAGATTGCTTTATGTGGGAACACATTTCAAGTCTCGTCAAAGTGAAATGCATCGCTTAGTTATTCATTAACAACCTAAACAGTGCTTCTAGTACAGTATTAAACAGCCTTTTTACTCTATATAAGTGACTAAATGTCGCCTGAGACTCAGTCTGTACGGGAATTAAAAAATCTTAATAAGTAGCCTATGTGTTTTTCCAGACTATGCTTTATACATATGCCAAATTTCAAGAAGTTCCACGAAGTCGTTTTGGAGATATCTTCTAACAAACATTCATCCATCCATCTATATATGCATCCAAACATTTGCATTTATAATATTAGTAAGATAAGTAAGGAATCTTATTCGTTAAATTTGTTAACGAGAAACGAACCCATGGATATTGTTACAGCTCAAAATCTAAAGGTACCACCGTCTTAAATTTCCGATTTTTTTGAGCAAATTCCTTATAGTTCTTTTTTTCTCTATATTTTAGATATAAGGTGTCGTAGTTTTGTTTATCATTTAAATTCTACGTAATAATCTACAGTCAGAATAAACCTGACCGGTTGGTTGACTATAACGTTATATAAATATAAACCAATTGCGCAACTAAAATATAAAAGCAAAGCCGCATCTCATTCGGATGTCGTAAAATCGTATTGCGTAGGAATGTAGACGGTATAACTAATTATGTGCATATTCATATAATTTACTGAACGCTAATGATATCACAGTATCTTGAATATGCGTTAATATCACGCCGAGGCGTAAGATATACCAAAGATGGCATAATTGAGGTCTGCAGACGATAATAAGCTAAAAGCGTTTATCTAAGTGTACTTAAACGCCTGTGGTGAATATTACTTATTAAAATAATAAGACATTATTGAGATATATTTTTATGAACTAGTTGTTTCTCACGGATTTTACTACTGATAATAAAATTATGAACACTTCATACTATTCTTTTATTTTTCAAGTCTTCGAAATCCGACATTTGACTTTTGTAAACTAACGCATAAGCATCGAACTTTAGGTAACAAAAATCTGCTAATCTTACTAATATTATAAATGCGAATGTTTAGATGGATGGATGGATGTTTGAAGGTATTTCCAGAACAGTTGAACTGATCTCGATGAAATTTGGCATACATATAGAACAAAGTCTGGAAGAACAGATAGGCTACTAATTATGTATTTTTTAATACCGCGTGGATGGAGTCGCGGGCGACAGCTATTATTATATTAAAAAAAGATCATGGCATGATGTTAGCACAATATTATTAATATTTTTTTATCTTAAATGCAAGAATTCTACAGTCGATATTAATAGAAATTGTTTTTATCGTTACATTAAAACACCTTGTAAATAAGAATAAGAATAAATTTATTTCACAAAAACACGTTAGAATAATATACAGTGAAGTATCTTGCAGACTCTGAACTAGGCTGAGTCTGTATCTCGGGGCCTAGGAGTGCACTAGCCATAAACAAAATAACATACATATCATGTAAAACTAAGCGTGATATTATGAGATACAATTTGGAAAATAAGAAAATACATGAAGACATTAAACTAAGTAATTTTGAACTAATAATATCAAAGGATAGCATGTGTGTGTATGATTATGCGTGTGAGTATGTGAGAAAGTGTGTGTGTGTGTGTGCGTGTGTGTGTGCGTGTGTGTGTGCGTGTGTGTGTGTGTGCGTGTGTTTTAAGTTAGGTGCGCAGGTGAATTGTTATTGGCTGGCGCAAAGAAGGGCCTCCGTGTCAAGGTAGGATAAGGACACAAGCCACTTTTTCACAAGGACCTTAACCTTTCCCGCTGTGTATTGGTGAATATTATGAATTTTACAAATATTATTATATATGCGTAGATGTATATAAGCAGGGGAGCGTTTGGCGAATGAATTTAAAATTTATTTTTGTTAAAAAATATAACGTCTTTATAATTCGCCTCTGTCAAAGTAAATACGAGTTATTTTCATTCATGAAACCCGAGATTAATAGACGGATTTGTTCCTTCGTATTAAAGAATTAAGTATTCTTTCTTTAAATCCAGACAACGACTTCTTTGATCCTTGGATTAAAGTCTACTTCTTGAGAATTTTACATCCAAAGATGTAGGTGAGTAGGTTTTAGTTAAAATGTACGAACAAAGAGACTTGAAGACTTAAAGTATTAAAGTCAATTTGACTTCCTTAAAGGAAAGCTTTTGTTACATGAAGTTAAGACAAAATATTGTTTATCTCTACTATTGACTTATAAAAAATTGTCCCAAGTTATAGTTGCTTTTAATAAAATTATGAATGTATTCCGCCCCGTAACTTTTCAAAAGAACTATGTTTTTAAGCGTAATTATATGTTTATTATTAATATATGAAGATTTTAATGTTTTATATTGTTACAGCGGACCCGCTTCCCGGCAAGCACGTGCCGCTGGAGAGCTATGAGAGCGAACTGGAGCGGGAGCATGCGCTACCCACGTCCGTCCCCAATGCCGACATACTCAAGACTAACAGCAACCCTACCTATCACAAGCCGAGGTAAGCTATCAAAATCAATTTGTTACAGCGCCATCTTTCGATCTGTGTTTACATAAACGCTTATTTATCATTATTATAATTGAAGAGCTGTCGCTCGCGAATCCGTTTTTGCGGGAATAAAAAAAACTTAATTAGTAGTCTATGTGTTCTTCTAGGCTATGTTCTATATCTACTCCAAATTTCAGCGAGATCCATACAGTCGTTATGGAGTTACCTTCAAAGAAACATCCAAATATTCGCATTTATAATATTAGTAAGATTGAAATTTTTATTTCTTTATCAAATTGATTGTACTAAATTAAGAAATATGTTTAGTTTCACTGGCGTTGTATTAAGAGCCTTAAGTATCATTTTAGTTAATTTGACGTCATAATGTTGCTAGAAGTGAACTCATTAATTCCACTCTTGTCATTCTCTAACGAGTGGCATTACGTTACCGCTCTTGGAAATTAATTTTTACTAATTACAAGAGATCGTTAAGGCAACTCCAAAACAAAACCCTAAAACAACACGGCGAATCTCTGAGCGAAGCTTAATTCGGGGCATAAATTAAATCATTATCGTAAACTCGAGTTAGGAGACTCCTTAAAGTTAAATGCCGTTTGCGCGCCGCGTAAAACTTTGATCCCTTCCGCGCAATTAAATACGTCCCGCTATAAAAGTCGACGCAACCAACCCGTTCGGATATCGCACGGGCAAATAAAAAAGTAAAGTTTGACCATGCTTCAGTTTTCTTTTTCTTTCCGTTAACTTTGACCTAACTTCAGACTTACTTAAAAAAAGTTTTAGTACAGTTTTTAATATGTGGCCATTAATAAAAAGATTAATCTTAATAATAAATGCGAATGATGAGATGGATGGATGTTTGTTTGAAGGTATCTCCAGAACGTCTGAACGGCTCTTAATGAAATTTGACATATATGTAAAATATAGCGCGGACGGAGTCGCGTGCGAATCCTAGTTTTATATAAAAATACAAGCAGTATATGACTAAATTGGTTTTTAATATATTTCTATTCTGGTTGACATTTTTAACATTAGTAATAAGTAAGATTAGACGTCCATTAACTTTTACGCCTATGCATTCCAAGGATGTAGAATTTTCCATTTTCCCCAACATTAGCTGTTTTGTTCACTTAAAAGCTCATTATTTTTCAAATAAATATAAGTTTCCATTATCGAAACATTTAAAAAAATATAATTAACTTTTTTTAATACATCTATTACTGTAGGTTTTTCACTGTTTTATTGACAATGTCTAGAAAACTTTATTTGTGTTACTGTGTTAATACAGTTAATTAAGTTTTACTAAGTTAGTAAAATTTAGTTCGTCTGTGGTTTATTCTGATTTGCATCTTAAATCTTTAACTATGTTTGCAATATTTTTATCTATATAGTAAAAAAGTTGTTGATACCGTTAAAAAGTAATTTTAAAACAACATTCTAGGAATTTTGTAAGGAAAAATATATCGATTTGATGTCAATACGAATTATACTTACATTATGATAAATCGATTATGTTTTTATGTTTTAGTAATAAAAACGTGTCAGATAAACAACGAGGGAATAGTGAATTATATTCTCAAGGACAGGCTCAGACGGTTCGATGTGAAAAAACAGGCAATTTTCTGTATTTCGAAGGTCTATATTCCGCTTATTCATTATGTAAGCTCTGATTTGAATAAAAACAAAGTTGTCGTTGGGATTGTTGAGCGGAGTTTGCGATCTTTGACTATAAAGTAACGGACTAGGCGAAGCCGCAATTGCACTATAAATTCACTTTTCGCGGGGGGTCGAGGTAAAGGTAAAAAAAATGAAATAACTCCGTGAAAGCATAGTAAGTCGACTAGTAATTTGAGAATTTATTGTTCGTTTCTAACAGAGGGGAATACGCCCGGTTGACAGGTCCTGCCATTAAAAGTCAAAGTTTGCGATGGCCGGCCGTCGCCGATGCTGTTTATCGTCGAATTCAATTTGTGACGCCGTGAATTTGTCAGATTTGCATTTTTTTTTATTCCCGAACAATGTTTGAATTGTTTTAACGATTGGGAATTCAGCCAGTATTATGTAAAGACATTAGCGTCCATTATCTTTTTTTTCATCCTCTTTTTAATAAAAAGGTTTTTGTTGATGTTCCAACTTTTGTTTAATCTACTAAAGCGATTTGTCACGTTCCTTTTAATAATCAATTATTATTTTTTCTTATTAGGCTTGTATTTCGTGGACGGTATAAAGACTGAGGGTAGGTAGTAATTCAATGTGTAGGGTATGTAAAAAAAAACAAAAAAGTGTCTTGAAAAATACAAAAAGACTCTCTCTCGTGCCAGACACAAATCGCTTCCTTTTTTTCCAACAAAGAAGTGTTTGCTTTTATAGGAGACATGTCTAGGTTTTTTTTTCATAACAGTCTCGTCAGTGCCCTTGCTTCAAGCGCCATTTTGAAGCTCACCAGTATCGTTCACGTGCAAACGCCTCGGGCACGGAAAGTTGCTCATTAGATCCTTTCCGGGTGCATCCTTTGACAATGCGATGTTACGCTTAAATAATTACAGGTCCCGTCTGTACTATCTCTTCAACTTTGTTGCTTTTTTGCATTCGAATAATTCATGACCTGTGAACTTCGACGCGAAAAAAGCAACTCTAGTTTTTTTTTGTTTGCTGTCTATCTGTTTTAATATGCGTCAATGATCGTCTGAGCACGTTACGTAGCACTAAAACAAATGTTACAATTTTCTTTGTTACGTGAATATTTAGCGGTATTCCAAATTGTAGGCTGCCTGGTTACAAGTAAAGATGTCAATTTAAAACTTCTAGTCAGTTTAAAAGTTAATAAAAAAATGAGGACCCACCTGCAAGCAAAACCTTTCGATCAAAAAATACGGACGAATTGATAACCTCCTTCTTTTTTAAAGTCGACTAAAAACCATAAATAGTCTTAGCGTAATAACACGTAAATAAATTGAAATATAAGAGAGATCTATTATAGAAGTGTTGCGCGTGTGGCATCTCTCTAAGCAACTCATTTTATTACTCCCTCGTGTGAATTTAGATGCAACAGGTAATAATCTGAATCGGTTATATTCCATATTCATATCAAACAAACGTTCTGTTCGATTAGAAATTCAAACAAAGAATAGAAAATCATCATTCGAGTGGTAATCGATTTAATTAAAACAGTAGTTACATAGCTCGTTTGCGCGATTCGTGCTCGGTGCAAGCAATGTTGCTCACAAACATTTGCATAATCATTGGCCCAACTACGATTCGATACATCGATAGTTTTAGTGTCGGTAAAGCGAGAATCGATTCGCCTTTGAGCTAAGTTTGTTTTTGATTTCGAGATTATATTTGTTGTTTCGATTGTAAGTTCAGAACCAACAAGTTCTTGGCTACTATAATGAAAATGTTAAGAACTTATTTTAAAATTAATTTATTAGGATTAATTTTACCAATATATTTATCTAATCTGTGGTATTAAAACGTAACATACTCGTTTTTTTTTAGAATTTGTTCTGATAATTTAAAATAGACACACAAATCATGTTTTCTTGAACTATGATTACGGCTAATGGTATAAGGCTAATGGCTTTGATTTCGGCCTATAATTTAATTTTATCATTTTAATGGAAAATTGTATGATTTAATATAAAAACATATCACGTCTAAGACGCCTGCATAGTTACGGATAAATAACTATAAATCACAAGAGATCTCTGACAAATATAGGTGAATTTATACCGAAATTTAGTGCGGTATCTTGCCAAAATTGGAACATTTGTTATAAGAAAAAAAAATTGTTCAATGTTTTTATGTGTACTAGTGACCAGCTAAATTTATAAAATAATTGTATAAATAAAATTAACCTTATTAATAATATATTATAATTAAGATATAACGGAATAAACAGAAATTCTTTTTAAGATGTTTAAAAGGTTAAAAGCTTGTGACTGTTTGAGGATTTAAAAGATTAACCATTTTTTCATACTGCGGTCTTTAGGTTTGTTGCCTCAGAAAAGATAAGTTCTTGCATTTTTATTATTAAGTTCCAAAGTTAATATTTTCTCAAGAATATTAACCCTTCACTAACGCAGAATGGCGTCATTCACCCCACTATAAATATTCACAGCATGACGACAGCACAACCCTTAAACTAGATAGATTGCCACTGGAGTTGCCAATTCTCGAATTATTGTAGCGAAAGCCGCTCGATTGATTTCTATGTTCGTAGTCCGCGTGAAGGCGAAATCCCGAGCTATGATGCTATAAATCTCTTCGAAAATTCAGATTATGCCAAACATTTCAAGTTTGCAGAAGCTTCGCGCTGTAGAATCGTTCGGTTGAACTTGATACATTATTTATCTAACTTCGCGCCAGCCTTTTGTTTATCGGCTTTCATTTCTATTTTGTTCTTTGCTTTTGGATTTCTTTTTTGTTTTAATTGATCAAACACCTCGATTAATCTCTTGATCCTAAGTTAGTAGTCTTGATTAGCCTGTCTTAAACCCTGTGTACTAAATTTTTTTTTTTTTATTTATATCGTTTGATATAATAAACCTATCTTCCGTACAATGCAGTCAGTTGTAAATTCCCTTGAAACTGCCACGCTAGAATAGTGCGGTTATTTACCGAATCGGATCATATCTTTGAGCTCTCTAACAGTCGACTTGTCACGCCGCTGGTCTGTTGCCTGAACTTTTGACGTGACCGATATCAAATCGTAAATCGAATCGCTTTCAATTTCTGCCCGTCAATTTCTAGTTGTCGAAATACGCTGTATGCATGCGTTTGGGAATTTGGGAATATAGAGGTTCAATTTACTATTTCCTAAATTGAGACATTTATAATTGCTATATTACCTTCAAATAACATATAAGTATAGATAATAATACGTAAAATGTATAAATTAAACTAACATACTTTAATTTTTAACCAATTTAAGATTTTTACGTGTGTGGATGAGTATGGTCCTTCGCTCCTTTTTGTATTAGCAAGGTGGTACAGTTTTCGTCGTTTATATAAATAAAAATCTTAACATCTTTGCTTAAAGTGTGAAGTCATATATTATCGTGGCATTTGAATCGTAAGCAGATTGTTGGGATTTGGGTGATGCGAGCGTTTTAAAATCCCGCCCTAAGCATGATTGAAACATTAATTCGCTTCTGTCAAAACGAACAAATCCGTAATGTGAACTAGGGCACAAGTTAATAGCAACTAGCGGATGTACTAAGTACAATCTATATTATAATAAAAAAAAACGAATATTTAACTAAAATATGTTAATAAAAGGAGTCCCTTTAGGCAAGGTATTATAATTATATTCAACATAAAAAAAAATATTCAGTAAAATTTGATGAAAGTATAGTAACACGAAAATCTATTTATATTTGGTACCGTAAATTTTTAAAACAACATTTTTTATATTAAAAGATTGTTGTAATTTAAAATTACGTTTAAACTATTAAATCTAATTTAATTAATGTTGAAATGTGTTATTACCGTTTGTCAGGTCTATTTTCATGTATGTAGTTACCAAGTGTTACTTCTACTTGGTCAAGTTTTTGAAGATCGCTTCTGCTTATGAATTACGCGCCGCCATGCGGATATTTTGCAAAGTACGGCCCTGAGCGGGCGGAGTTTCCGAGAGACGACCATTAATCTAAACCGCTATTGTTTTGCAAAACTACACTCGCATTGTTCCACGGATTGCTTCTTGTTTTATTTATGTTTTTATTGAACGTACATCCCGATGGGGGAATCGGTATTCTATATAGATTTTTCATTTCAACCACCGTATGGAAGTTGTTTCTTGACCGCGCCAACCGATTGCAGTACGATTGGCTTTTTCAATGTTTTGTGTTTATTTTTTTATTTGTATTTTAAAATAAAACGGGTCACTGCAGCTTCCAATAAGTAAGATTGTTTCACTTTAACAGACTGAATTTTTCTATTTTTTTTTTCTAGTAAAATAACCATTTTATTTAAAAATACCTATCATGTATGCATTTTGCTTTGTTCATTGAATAGCCTTTAACAGTAAAAAATGCTTTATCCATATCATTGGTTACTGGTTTTAAAATAAGGATAGAAATAGGGGTATGGGAGAATAGTACGCGTTTGTTCGGGTACATTAAAATAATGAATGAAGAATTTCCAGCCAGATTTATGTTTCAAAAGTCTAGACTAATAAGTCATATTTATCTTGGCTGTTAATATCTTATGATCGTCGGATTTTCTCAGTAATTTAAGACCTCAATATTATGCGGGTACAGTCGATGGCGCGTATTTCGTGTCAATTTCCGTAAAAAGAGATTGGTCTTTTACTTCTCTTACTATGGATTTAGATTGGAGTGACACTTAGTTACACATATTGTCATCTCTAACACTCTCTTTACAAAGACAGAGACATTAACTGTCCGCAGTTGAAAGTTAAAATAAGAACAAATAAATGTGCTAGATTATAACTTTTACAGTAGGTTTTTGGACCAAATCTCTGTATAAAAAATACCGTTAGCCTTGTCATCTTTGATGAAAAAGAGATAACAATATATTTTAAACGGAGATTTTGACCTCAGAAATCCACCTTTATTGTGGCAGTAAACCTATCTGATTAGTGGGAAGGAAATTCAATTATTTGACTGTACAAATCTTACGTAAAATAATTCAGTTATTTAAATATTACTCGAAAGTCATCAGACAGTAATTGGTGGGTACTCAGTTAGCATAGTGTAATAAAAACTAGAGTGGTTTTTTTTAATATTCCAGGCCAATGGTTTTAATTAACCGAAATGTTTCTCCGACGCTGCGGTACAGAGTTACGTGAATTATTAAATTTGCATTAAAAATGTAGTTTAGGTAAAGCGTAACGCGTATTTTTATTAAATAAAGTCAAGAAGCGCTTTACGCTGTAGCAGTATTAGAGAGAAGTTTTAGCATCCCTTAATTTTATTTCTGACGCTTTAAACCGGAAAGTTTGCAGTAAGTTTTTATCGTAAAGGTTTAACTTTTTAAGTGATCTTTTTGGCATAGTTTAGTAGTAAAACGTATGGGTTAGGAATGAAAGTATCAACATTCGAATATTGTATATTTAATATTGTGGGTTTAAACTGTGGTTTTAATTTAAAATAATAATACAATCTTACTAATATATATGCGAATGTTTGGATGAATGGTTGGATGTTTATTAGAAGGTACCTCCAGAGCGGCTGCATGGATCGCGTTGGAATTCGGCACAGATGTAGAACACAGACAGGATGAACACGTAGGCTACTAAATAAGTTTTTTTTATATTGCGCAAACCGAGTTGCGGCGACAGCAAGTGTGTTCATATGCTTCGCAATAATGAACTTATGGCTTTTAGTTTTAATATCAAATAACTAGAATAAATAATCATAAGCGCTCGTTAGCCCACGTTCCACAGTTCGATTCCGCATGAAAATTTCAATTTAAATTCCTCGCGGCCTGTTAGCTCACAATCCTATGTTAAAATATGTACATACGCTAGTTAATTTTCTCCCATAAATTGTCACGTGTGTCGACCGGCTAAACCGCATACGTACGAATATCGCTCGATTTCAATAAAGTGCAAATTCGCACGACATTGCAATAACCCCCCTCGCTCCGAGCGTACAGGGACGTATTCAGAATTTTAAAATTCTGTCTCCGTTCTAAATTCTCACAGATTTCGCGATATACGTACTAGTTGAACCATGTCATTGACCTGATGGTGTTCAGTATAACATGACCCCTGTGGCAATGGTCACCGCGACTTATCCCAGATCTTAGTAGATTATGCTGCGTGTATGGAAATCAGAAAAATTGGCAAAACGCCCGCTGCCTCGACGCCCGCTTTATTTTCGCGACGTTAACCGCATTTTAATGAATCGCTTCGTGGAAAAAATAACCGTCTAGATGGACCTCGCATAATTATACTCAATGACCGTGTTTACATAAACTTAGAGCTTTAAAACCTGGAAACATTAAACGACAAAAAGTAAAGATTGACGAAAATTTCCGAATTTATAAATTAATTCATCCCTTAGGACCACAAATGTTATCATGTTGAACAACTAATTTAAACACAGATTACCACCAAACTATATCATAAGGTATTCTATAGATGGTTCTTAATAAAATAATATTTTTTATGATTATATTTAAAATTAGTAATATGAACTTTATGTTTCAGTATTATTCAGTGTTCAGTACTTGACTGTTGGTAAAGTGTGCCTATTGCTTCTGTATGGTTAATATTTTTTAAAGTTTAAAGCTGTCTTTAACTCGACGCCCTACTTCGATAAAGAATTTGTGAGAGTTCAAGCAGATTTGTTCCACTTTTAGAAGGCGCCGGGCATTTTTAATTATCCGGCTTGGAAACTTTTTGTACTATTATATCTAAATACTGAGACAATTATGCTTTGTTGCTAACTCTTTAAAAAAAAAGTTTTGGACATTCTATTTTCAAATTACGCTATTCGTTTTATCGACATCTCTTTTTTTTTCAAAGGAAATAAGAGGGATGAATACATGTTTTTGTATATTTGTTTCGGCCGCGGTTCCTCGTTGTAATTCGAAGCAGAATAGGTGTTCCATATTTAAACTTCGATCCTAAAATATAACGGAAACACGCGGTTAATTTGTTTTGGTTCGCGTAATAAAATTAATGTCGGCAATAAAAAACAAATCTGGATTGGAGATCGTTAAATTGTGAGCTCTAAAAACTTCGGTAGAAACATTTATTTGCTTAGAAAGAGATTCGTCTTTAAAAGAGCTACTGAAATCCTAAAGATAAGAAAGTGACTTTTGAAAGATGATTTTGCCACGATTTGCAACTCGAATGATTTAAAAATAGAGTCTAAAATATTTGACGAAGGACAATCTCATTGATTTACTTTTGCAAAGAAAGACAAGATTTGGATGTAAAGGAATAAAATTTCTTAGTTTGTGTCCAGATTTTCGCCGCAAATATTAGAATTCCAAGCTGACCGTCTCTAACTTGACGTTGCAAAGACACTTTTATTAAAGTCTGAGGATTAAAGCGCACATGTTTTACGTAACTTACATTCTAACTGAAACCCATTTCATCATAGACCATTGCCCTATTTGTATTTCAATAAAATTTACAATTTTCACCTTAAAATGTAAGAAACAGATTGATTTTTAAAGTTTTATTTTAAATAAAGACTAACCTTTGTTTGTATTTCTGCAGACCGCCGCAACATCACGGCGCGGCGCTGCTGGCGGGGGTCGGAAGCGGGGCGGTGCCGTCGTACGCGCCGCCCGGTCGCGCGTTTTTCACGCCCCCATTGCCGCCGGAGTATAGGAACCCATTCGCCGATAAGCCGACACTACGAGGTCAGTTAAACTAGCATTTCACAGGAATATAGTCAAGTGTTTATGATCTGATTGTGTAAAGAATCCTATTTGTGGACATATTTGCTCGTAATCCATCAATTTAACGTTCAGTAACGCCCGCAGTCAGAGTTTGTTAATAGTTAACTTAGATAGACCCATTGTGTAAATCAGGCATTCCAAAGGTTTCTTGTACAGACACCGACCCCAAAACTATCATGTGGAGTAGCAAGAACAACCTTAGGTTTTTTTACTTTCTTTATCTTATAATAATGTGTATTTGCAGGCACAAACACGGACGGGAACAACTATCTCAATCGGCGACCCATCCCGCCGCCCTCCCTCGGGCCGGGACACGACAGGATACCCATCAGACCGCCTGGACAGGTAAGTCTCTTGTCAGCCATGTGATACCATCATCTACTCTCGTATCACTTGAGTTTAAAATCGTGCCAATAACCATTACAGTTAAAGAGGAATACATGATGACCACTATGCTTGAACATTAAAAAGTTGAACTTTGGTCAATTTCGCAAAATAACAATCGTATGATTATTTAATCCAAACTCTTTTGATCCCATAACTCTATAATAATGTATTCATATAAACTAAGAACTAAGCCAAATATTTTATGTGATTTTCAGGAAACTTCGTCCCCGCAAGTTCCGGCGCCTCCCCCCGCACCGCCCGCGCCTCCGCCCGGCCTCGAGCCACAGAAGAAAAAGCCACTTAACACCCCCAGTCATAAGGTCGGTATTTGCTTGAATAGACCAATACGAAAGTTTAAACTTTGATTCGTTATCCCGTTTAGAATGTTATAGGTTTTACTACCGTATTCAGAGACGTTTAATGATCATTTAATCAGTCTCTTAGTATTTATTTCTTATTATAAATTTGCGCCGATGGACCTTGTGGGAACCGTATTGACCCTTAGTAAAATTACGGCAATTAGTGGTTTACTGTCTAATTCTAGTGGTCTGGTTAGAACTGTCTAGTTTTTGCTTTTTTGTTGATTTAAATTTTCCATTTTTTTCATTACAGCCTGACGAATTAGACGGCGACATCAAACATGGCACTGATCAGGCGAACTTCACAGACTTTGTGCCCAATTCGCTCAACATCCCAACCATATCTAGGATATTGTCGGGATCTAATGGGAGGAAGGAAGACATTCCTGATGTACTCCTGCGGACTGTCACCGCGAAGCCACAGCACCAGCCCGAGAAGACATCCAAAAGTGACGTATTTGTGACTAAAGACACAAGTGTAACCCTCAGTGATTCAAACCGCGATTCATCTACCGAAGGATCAGTTCTAGCTGTACTAGATCCAGAAATGAATATAGATCGACCGTTAATCATAGACCAAAATGGAGAAACTAACACTAGAAGAAATCTACAATATTCAACAAATAAGGATAGGAATGATAGTAGAAATAATGAGAATTATATGCCAGCGACGACAATTGGCTTCGAATTAAAAGATCCAGAAATGTCAACGGAAAGATATCACAATCTAGCGAACGTGAATTCTGATAAGAAAGTGTTGAAACAGGATTCTAAGAACAATGGGCCGGTACAACGCCCCGGCGCGACTTGGCCGTTCGCTTGGAATGTCCACATTTACTTAGCAACCGTCATGTTCACAATATTAGCAGTTTATTCAATATTCAAAATAATATGCTACAACAAATTCACACATCTCTTCACTCAGTATTACTTTATAATACTTCATCTGATTTTAGTATTCGTATGCCTCATGAGAATATTCTATCTATGTTACGATCCTTATAATATTAACAATTCTCTACCGATATTTATCAGTGAAATATTATTGCACGTACCAGAAATATTCTTAACTATTGCATTCGCTAGTACTATTCTGTTCCTTATGACCAACAGTGCGAACTACAGGAACAAATGTTGTTCCTTCTTGTTCCGCTCGCGAACCATCATAGTCGGCGGCGGACTACTCCTCCTAACTTGTGTAACGTTGCATATCTTTGAAAATAGTAATACAATATATAGGACCCCTCAGGGAGTCGAAAAAAGGGTATTAGGACTAACTTGTCAGATAATATTTATCATAGTATGCCTTATATTGGGTTTATGCTATCTATATGTATATAAAATGCTAAAAGCCATTCTTCAGAAGAAAAGTCACAATTATATACATGGATTTCAGAATCTCTATCAAGGGATACATATAAATCTAGCGACCGCATTGCTATTCGTGTTAATGGCGACCCTGCAAATATATGGGATAATAGGAATCAATCAAGTTAGCATGACGAAGTTCGATTGGTTGCAGTGGGGCTACCAGTTTTCATTGCGACTCATAGAAATAAGTGTTGTGGCTCTTATTTCGTGGGTGATAAGTCTCAAAATCGGCATCGTAGCTTCACTGCAACACGAAAAAGGCGATGGACAAAAAATATCTGGATTCTTCCCTTGCACGGCCGGCTCGAGCAACGAACAATTCGAATCCGATTATCCGACTATTTGCAACACTAACACAAACCTCAAGACGTACACGTTACGAACTGGGAAACCGGTTTACGAAACCGCTGGTCATCACCCCGTGATGCCGGAACAGTGTTTCGGTGCCAACGTCATGGAACACCAGAGGTTCCAGTTGAGCACTTTGGCAGGGAACTGTGATAATAATTCGGGAACTGAGAACTACTCCGGTCACAGTTCCATTGCCAACGCCGGCCACAGCAGTTCTACTGAATCCAGTAACGCCGCCTCCGGCCAAGGTGTGACCAACCATTTGATCAAACATCATCCAAACATGGCCGGTTACAACGGCATAGAATCCGCTTCTGACGACCACTACTCGAACTGCGACCCCGCCATACAGTCCCTGCAGGGCGATGACCCTCTAGACCACGAGTACAATGTTATCCAATACGGCAGCAACAGCGATTTTATTCGAGACATAAAAAATCAAAACTACAACGGTGGATCAAATAGAAGCTCTCATAATTTCAAACACATGTCATACGACAGAGTTTCATCCCGAACGAATAGTAATCCTCGTAAAAAGCACAGAGCGAAGAACAAGAATGTTCAGAATTGCATGACAATGGGCTACGACCCTTCAATGAATCACCACTACCATCAACCACATATGCCCGATGAGTATAGCAACTACAACGCGGAGAACGCGTCCTATCATTCCTCAGGGATACAGACCCTTAATCCTAACAGGAGTTACGAGGCTCCATGCCAACAAATTAGAAGCTCGCAACGTCGGAACTCGCCTTCCACCGTTATGGTTAATTCTAGCGGGAGTCAAAAAAGGGGAAAGGGGAACGGGTTCCCGGATCGACCTAAATCCACAGATCTGTATGGATTCTCGGAGGATCCCAACGACAGGGCATACCCATGTGCTTTAGGCACGCCTCAACCGGCGCCAAGGAATTGCAGTTACGAGGCTTCATACTCTCAACCGCAAGACGAAATCAACCCGAACGAGGGAGGAGGCAGCATGCTGGTTGCTCAGGACGGCTTCGTACGATTCCGACCACTAGAAGATGGTCCTTCACAAACCTGATTTACAGTCACCCTGTCGAGCGCGACAGAGGACCTAAGTTTCTAAAACTCATTTCACGTGGAAATTCGTGCATCTCATTGTATAGACATTGTAAATTAATAGATAGGTTTAATACGGGATCCGTTTAACATACGATCCGATTATAACGGCCTTTTGTACATAGCGTTTTTTTTATTCTAAGGCCCTGTTTATTTAAGCGATTTCATTTGACTGAAATGCCATTTTTCGTTAACTAGATTGCCCCGTTTATCATTCTGATAAATGTATGGCCAATGCAAATAAAACTGAGCCATTGAACAGAGAACATAGAAAAAGGTAAACTGGTCTTGTAGTTTGCAGATTATATCATGTTGTAAGTTTTATAATTGAAGTTGACATTTCTAAATCTATATATATAATCGCATTATTAACCTTGAGTTTCTAAGACCAAAATCTTCGTTTGAAACATATTGTTATCTCTGTTGTGTCAAAGATGAAAAACAGGGATGACGATATGTTTTGTACAGAGATTTTGAAGTCAGAAACCCACGGTAAGCTGATTTAATATCGACATATAAGTACCGTAACAAACATACAGAATGATAATGTGATATTGAATATAATTTTCTTTAAATCTTATTAATAAATCAGTTTATTAACAATCAGATGAATAACTACAATATTTATCATAAATGTTTACTAGTCTGAAGTTAGCAAATGGTCATTTAAAATTGAAGGACGAGAAATACGTCTTTCTCTGTCACACTTCTCGCTGTTATGTTCATCTTACTCACACATAAATAGTATTTATATAACTAACTTCAGACTTAAATTCTTTGAAAGGAATATATTGTGGGAGATTAATATTTTTGAGTTAATTCATTTATTTATTGAAATCCATTTTTTGTGATTATTTGTTACGTTATTATAAATTTTCTTATTCTCAATTAAAGTAATTGATATCAAAGTATTGATTTTGTTATCAAATGATTATATTAAAATACATATTTCACACAAAATTACAAAAAGATAAAGGTAAAATCTTATGTTATATATAAAAAATCTTAATTTTCATTCGATACAATGCAAGCAGTACAATTTAAATAATCTATAAAGCATTGCCTAGTCAACACAATTATCCCATGGTATTTATTCCTGCCATTATTCATTTATTTTGTTATATAAGGTTCCTACGTAAATAATTTTAATTAACAGACCCATTGTCATTTCATAAAATATCAGATTGTATAGTAGTTTTCAGATATCTCGACTGCTTGACCTTGAGCCTTCAAGATATTTGAAAGTAACTATACAAATGTCAAATATGAATTATAATTTACATGGGAACCGTATTTAAATACAGCTTTTGTAATTGTGTTAAGAAATATCAGAATATTATGATAGAACGTAATTTTTCAATCACACAAAAATTATGATGGTAGCTGTTACACGAAAATGTTGACAAACATATTTTATAAATATAATAGAAATATGTACTCTTAGTAAAAGCTATAATTTAAGATAATCTTACTAATATTATAAATGCGAATGTATAGATGGATGGATGGATGAAGTTTTTTTTTCAAACCAGCTGAACGAATCTCAATCAAATTTGGTATACATATAGAACATAGTCTGGAAGAACACATAGGCTACCAATTGTTTTTCTTTAATTTCGCGCGAAAGGGACGCCAGCGACATCTATTTTTCTATAAAAATAACAAAATTCCTAACAAACTTATATACATTGTAATTTAAATAAAAGCTTACAAAAATTTACTTATCAATTACTTTTGTTAAAAATTGTAAATCGAAACATGTATAATAACATGTTTTGTATCAATGGAAACTCATGATTTCTATGCAAATTACACAAACTTAATATATCTTTTACTAAGAGTAAGTATTTCACAATAAATGTTGGCACGTCACAATAGATAGGTAAAAAAAAAAAAGAAATAATTGTATAGTTTAGGTGAAATACTAAAGAATATTTATTATTGGCAAATAAAACTTACAAAATAACTTGTTTAATAAAAGTGGCGATTTAATTCTGTGCTCATATAATTATAATTCCTATGTAAATAAAATTAATATAAGTATGGTAGATTTCAACCATAAAATGCCACGTTTTTTTTTATAATTTAATTTACTTTAGTTCACTAAGTGTATATAACGGGAGACATAGTTACACCCGTATATAGGAACGTAAACGCGTACCACATTTGTTGTATATTAATTTTTTTTTAATATTTCCAAGACTGTACCTACTTTTATCATTTAACAAAAACTGACATTTACTATGTATAAATAAAAAGGTATTAAAATTTATTTGTTGTTTTATTGATAAAATTTACTATGAAAATGTAATTTGAATCTATCGTGTCCAGATTTACAAACTGAAAAATTAAACTAGAGAGAGAGTTCTCTAAATACTGCAATCAAATTTACTTGACAAACGCATCCTTCTGACCTTGTGAAAATGGACGAGTTCAAACTGGATTCGTCATTTTTTTTGTAGAAGGGTTTTTTTTTATTAATTCATAGTGGAAATATTAAATGATTACACACAATATAATCTATATTAAATTTATATCGTCATAATATATACAAATAAGTGTAAACATTTACAAACTTAAATAATTCAAATCTCATACAGATTATCAAAATGTACACAAAATAGGTTACATTCAAAATTTTCACATATAAAACATTACAAAATGTATTTTCGGGGATTATCAAAAATTTAACATTCTTTATATAAAATAGATTACTAAAACTGCATATTTTAAATTTCCTAGACCCTTTTTCTAACGTTCTCAAATGCTTTAAAGATTTACGCCATCTGTTGATAAAAAATAAAACTAAAATGAGAATCTTAATGGTTGACAATAGATGGCACTATTTTGCAAAAAAAATATAGATACAGGAAAACAAAAAATATGTAAGAATTATTTTTGTTGAGTCCATATAAGCAAAATTAGTGCACTTTTCACATAATTTTGATTTTATAGTAAAATTCATTTATTTACAAAATATTTTGAAATAAATACATTTATAATACAGTCAGAAAAAAAGATTGTAACTAGTTACAAATGTCCTAAAATATAAATACGTCTTAAAATAAAACTAAAATTATAAATACCAGGTACACATAATAACAAAGATACAAACCTTTTTTTATATCAAATCGTAACCTTATTTCAAATTAACATTTAAATCAATACTAACAAGAAACCTCTTAAATTAGCTTTTTACAATATAATTACTCAGAAAGAAAATAAATTAATGATATTAAAAGCCACGTGAAAACAATTATTAAAATTATGAGTCAATTTTTAATTTAAACTGTTTGGTTTCCATTGTCAAAATAGTTGCATAAATATATATTGCCATCTCTCATATTATCTTTGAGAAGACAGAGATAAAATATAACTATGGAATTTTCAATAAACTCCAAGTCAGTTAAATACTGCAGTAATAAATAATTATTGTCATTTATTAATAATTGAGTTGGCACGTCGGGTAGTGCAGTACTCTTGTTACGGACGTGTCAAATCAAATGACTAAACCTCAGTTTTCGACATCAAACCGTGAAATTTTTGATATATCGGGACATCAAAATGTTCCTACAATTCATAATTTGTGGTACTTCCAAGGGTACCTGCCCCAATTGGGTTAAATCTGCAAAATCACAGGTCAATAACTATTTCAAATACCCTAATTTACTGTCAAATATCAAAATCTTCGTTATTCTTTTTCTTTGCTGAGAATTGTTCACCTAATAATTTCATAACTTCTGCATGTGATTTTGTTCCATCTTTTAAAGTCCCGTAATTTTCTTTAACATATAAAGCGAAGCCGTTAGGACCAGCTTTTCTTGCAGGAGTTGAAACGACTACGCCATCTTTGTTTTTTCTATTGACAATAATCTCAAAAGCACCGTGACAGTAACCGCAACATTTCTTCGTCACGTCAATTGATTTCGAGTGACGTTTTATGCTGAAAGTTAGAAAATTGTTACATAATCTTACTAATATTATAAATGCGAATGTTTAGATGGATGGATGATTGTTTGATGGTATCTCCGGAACCGCTGCATCTTGCCGGATCTTGTAGAAATTTGGCACTAATGTAGAACATATAAGCTACTTATTAAGTTTTTTTAATTCCTCGCGGACGGAGTCGCGGGCCATAGCTAGTCTAGAATAAATACGGATCGATGGAGTGTAACCTTAAAAACTCATGGGAATGGATATTCCCTACTATGGGGTAAATAAACTAATTCCGAGACACTTAGCAATTCTAGGCAAAATATTCGAATTTATCAACGGTATTATTAATACATTACTACTCCGTCTGCAGACTGATCAGAAACCTTAATAAGATTTAATATATCAAACTAATATATCATTCCTATGTTTCTTCTAGTCTAGTTACCATCAAATAGGATCATTATCATACAAACTTTCATACACACGATGTATCACGTACCTGTATCCACATTTAGTACATTTATAACAATACTTAAAGTATATCTCCATATCGTGACAGCGCGATATCTCTCCCAGCTCGGGTAACACCTTCAAAGCTCGCGTCGCCCTGAAAAGTATAAATATAAAAGACAATAAAAGATAAAAAAAATTAATAACCTAAACTTTAAAAAAAAAACAAACAACTCCACTGATTGCAGTTTTAATAGTTGAAATAGCGCCATCTATCGGTTGAATTTTAAATTCTTAAAAACGTTAATCTTACTAATATTATAAATGCGAATATTTAGATGGAAGTTTGTTTGAAGGCATCTCCAGAACGTCACAAATGATCTTGATGAAATTTGGCACACATATGAAACATAGTCTGGAAGAACACATAAGCTACTAATTATTTATTTATTTTAATTACACGCGGACGGAGTCACGGGCGACGGCTAGTTTTAAACTAAAGCTAAACTAAACAATATTTTATTAATTTAATGTTAATCTAAAATAGTGATAACGCTTTTAATTCATGGCGGAGTTGTAGAGGTAAAAAAATCTGACCATTTCTTCCAGAGTGGTCCATGACCAGCTCGCAGTTCCCCATCAATGAGCCATGTGGCAGCGTGGCACAGCTCGTGCACCAACGTGTCTCGCAGCCGCTGCGGACTGTCCACCACTTTGATGGACAACTTGACGCTGGATGTGCGGATACGATCACCTCGTGCAGTCTTCAATAGTCTGTTTGTTGTTGTACTGGAAGTGACAATTCAAAAATCAACTGAAAACCTTTATTTGTTAGGATACTTGAATGATTTTTGTAAAAATGAAAACACCAAAACCGTTACTAAAACACTAAATCAGAGATGGCGAACGTTTACGTATCAACATAGGATTTTTTTTAAATTTTTAATAAAGTCATAGGCGTACCATCAAATTCAATCGCTTTTTCTTAGAAAAAAATGATCCATTAAGTTTAGTGCCATTAGTTTGCTACCACTGCCAACATTACTCTCCTCGAAAAACAATTAGACAAACTGTTAAAACATTATTGTAATACTTAATAAAAAAAAAATTAGTTTGTGTAAATTTTATAGAAAAGAAACATTCCATCTTACCCCGCAGTACTCCTAAGCTTAGTATCCCATATGATTGGTAGATCAGCGTCCAAAACATTGTCAAATACGATTTTATTGAAGTCAAGAAATAGTCTCCGAGTGAGTTGTTCACGTAATGTCTTGTAATTGTCCCGATATTGTATAGCTTCCGGATGACATCTCCATGATGGCACATTGTCTGGAAAAAAACAATTTATTATAGACAAAAAATTATGGAAATATCAGGAATGGATTTAGATTTGATTAGCAGTTAGCCGGGACTTTGCTTGCTCGGAACTAACAAAAATGTTATAATAAATGTAAAAAAAAAAACTTTTAAGGGAACAAAAATTAAACTAATATTGTGAGTTTACATTACAAATCTAAAATATAAAAGAAAGTCGTGTTAGTTACACTATTTATAACTAAAGAACGGCTTTACCAATATGGTTGAAATTTTTTTTTTCAAATTTACGCCATGAAAAGCTGCTTTTTATTTAACTTAATAATATTTTAATTGCGAATGGATGTGATGTGGATGGATGGATAGGTGTTTGAAGATATCTCTAGAACGGCTGAAAGGATCTCAATTTAATTTGGCATACATATAGAATATAGTCTGAAAGAACACATAGGCTACACTAATTAAGTTTTTTTATATATCTAGTAGTACTAACATGTATACAAAAATATACCCAAAAGCCCTACCTGCTAAAGATGCAAGGAAACTTAGTCTATTAACTGTCAATTCTTTTGACGGTGTACAGACATTTTCAACTTTCTTAGTTACACTTATATTTTCAACTTTCTTCGTCAAATTGTCAACATCCATATTCATCACTTGCACTAATTCCGTCACTGATAAACCTTTTAATTTTTTTGTAGTAGAATTTACATTTTTTTCTTTTTTCTTTGCTTTAGGTTCCGGTGTACTCGGAATAACTTCTGTGTACAATTTCTTTTTACCTTTCTTATCTGTATTATTTAATTCTTTGTTAACCTTTTTCTCGGAATCTGTTAAATATAGTAACTTATTTTGTTTTAATTCCTTACGAGTACTTGCTTTTTCACTTATGATATTATCAGCATCATCATCAAATAGTTTTTTTGGTATGATATTGTGTTTTTCTTTTTTTAACGTCTTGAGAAGTGATGGAATGCTTTTCCATGCATCACCATATAAATCATCAAGTAATTTCTTTTGTGATTGTTGAATTTTTTTTATAGAACACTCTTCTAAAGACTCATTAGCAATATCTTTCGGAGTTGATGGTACTGTTTCTTGTTTTGGAGTAGCACATACAATATTCTGTCCTGGTGACCAACCATCAAAACTAGGTCTTGATTCTTTCAATGGTGTTGACATTTCTTCTTGTGTTGAATTTAAAATCTATAATAAAATATGTATTAGATAAGTTCTGATCTCGCGACCCCAACTAGCTGCCGACCCATCGGTCGGCCCTGGTACTGCTGGCGAGACGCCATAGAGCTGGATCTGTGGGAGCTACAAGCAATGGACTGGCAGGAAAAGGCGCAAGACAGGCGACTTTGGCGATCTCTTGTGTTGGAGGCCAAGACCCACTTTGGGTTGATGCGCCAGCGGAGTAAATAAGTTCTGAAGCTTGGAAATATATAAATACTAGCTGACGCCCACAACCCCTACATTATAAAGATACTTAATTAGTAGCCTGTGGGTCTTCCAGGCTATATTCTACACATATGCCAATGTTCGCTGAATCTATGCAGCCATTCTGGTGATACATTCTAACAAACTTTGATTCATACATCCGAACTTTAAAGTATACAATGCATCTACAACTTATTGGTTGTAAAAAAAAAACAAGTACAGCCTCAGATAATACTTACATTTCCTGTCTTGCTTGGTTCAGTCTTTAGCTCTATTTTAGGTAGTTCTTCATCAAACAGATCACAAGAGTCATTTATAAAAATCGGAGAATATTTCTTCTTTGGTGATATCTAGAAAATAAATAAAAATATTGATTTTTTAAATTTTGGCTTTGTGGTGAAATTTTCTTTTCTATTTCAATTTTGAATTAATTTATTTTGTATTGTTAGTTAATATATGTACTTAATTTTGCATAGTTGGTAGTAATGTTGAATCAATATCTTCAAAATGTCTCTCTTCAGGCTATTGTGATAAAAAATACCCTCTACTTAAACTTTTAAAGGATGGCCATAGCTATACATTTATATTGTTTAGATTTAGAGACTAAGAAATAATGGTAGACTTACATTATTTTTGAAATCCATTTGTAACCTATCAAATGATTCGTCAAGAATGATAATATCTGAGCTTCGGTTTAGTTTCCTGGCAGCGTTCATATAGTTTGCATTATTTTTCTTCAATGATAACTTTAGAAAACCTGAAAATTTGTTGTTAAAGTTATGACGATTACGTGGGTGAGTTTATTTTAAATAAGTTAAAACTACTTACGATTTTTACCATTACTTTGCGTTTTGGTGTCCATCATGAAATGTTAAAGTTGTTTTTCGTTTCAGTTGCAAAATTATTAGATATTTCTATTGGAATTTATATCGATAAATTTTTAAACATATGAAATCCGTTACACGACTTTTATTTTTACAAGTTTGACAACTGACACTGTAATGACAATTGTTGTCAAATGTTATCGACCAATGAGCGATTTGCTAACTCAAAATGTAGCCATAACTAAAAATTTTTTGCAGTGTGTTCTTGTCATTCATATTTTCATGTTTTGGATTCTCCGGATGAAAAGTAGTAAAGATATTTCCAAAAGGGATCAACCCTAAAATAAAGAAGGAAATCATATTTAAACCACAGTCAGAATTATGATTACCACTTAAACAATTGCTTGAAATTCTGATAATGTTAATTGATTAGCGTCAACAGATGGCGGTACCGATTTCACATTATGTTCGTTTTGCAAAAAAAAATTGATGATTTTTTCAGTTTTTTAGTCTACAAGGGTAAATATTATATGCCCTCGAATTCTCTACTAATAATGACCAAAGAAACTAAGCATTACATATAATTTTAATCTGCTCTTTTGCTTAAAATATAATAGAATTAAGAAAAAAGGCATTCTACCTATGGGAAAAAGGCCTGAATATCCTGAGAGATAAAACTATTAGCTCTTAGCTATGTACCTTTATCCACATTATGAGCGTAACATTATGAAGGTAAACAAATCGTAAATAAAAGAAATAAAAAGTAACAATTCATGTAAAACATAAGTTAAAAGTGTAAAATAAAAATAATAATTTAGTTGTTCTATTTACGTCAACCGATCATATGACAATATGACAGAAATAAAATTAAAGATTTTATTCTTTTTGCACAAGACAACTTCAACAGATTTCTAGAAACTCGGATATTTATAAGCATTAATAAATCAATTATGCTATCCATCTAACTAGTTAATAAAAAAACAATTTTATATAATTAGCTTGTTTCTTGTATTTTAACTGAAAACCACAGAATCAATTTAAAGAAAATGTTCAGACATACATTTTGGACATTTATAAACCTAAAAGGAACAATTAAATAATCTTCGACGAAAATTCTTTGATATTCGTTTAAGTATTTTTGATAAGTGAACTAAAACCTACTACTTCTTGCTATAAAAACCCTTCACGACAATATTGCTTAAGAATAAAAGCATCTTACAAGACTTTTGTTTCCAAACACTAGAATGGAAAGTGGCTTTTTAAATAACAGCAACATCGTATTTTTCTGGGTATTTTGACGTTTGCTTTTTTTTTATTTTTTTTTCAAGTTTTATAAATAATCAACTCATTATGATGCAAGACGAATGTAGGTCACTGAATGTTTATATATGAGTATTATGAAAAAAAAACCAATGCAAGATTAAGTTAATTATTAGTCAAGGAAAGTAAACGCGTTTTTATCAACAAGACAGAGTTCTTGCGATTATAGACTCTCCGTAGATTACAGCACTTCATAATTTTCTGTGAAGTCCTTGGCTCTCTATGAAAACCCTTCAGCCTAACATTACAATGACATATCAATTTCTCAATGAAAGATAAGATACTGAGTGGTATCTGTTTTATTTTCCGGACCGTTCAAATATTTAATGAAAATAAATCTTAGATAATTTGCAAATTGCATTAGAAAAATATCCGTGTGAAGCAACTATTGTATTTGAGAATAATAAATGGTGCCCATAGCAATTTAAAGATAACTAGATATCGACAGGCAATTTGTTTGCGTATCTAAAAATAGATTTACCTTTGTGCGGACTCGTTTATTTATGTCCGATTTCACTATTCACCCTTGCCCTTAAAAAGTTAATATAGCGCATGCGCGGGAAAACTCGCGCGTCTGTCAACTAGAAAATGGCGTCCATTTTTACAAAAATAAAACACGACAAACGCGATTGAGCACTCGCTTTTAATGATATTGTGAAATTATACAGTAAAATATTTCACTTTAATTTCGTTTTCAACAAGGTTGAATTTGAAATTTTATTGCGGCAAGCTGCGAAAGTTAATTGGCCAGTTATAAAAGACCTATTGTTATTCGGCTGTCTCCTCTATTCGTGTGTATTTCAGAGCATTGCGAAGGGCGTCGGAGGTCTTTTAGTATTGGTCTCAGCTGTTTTTTCAAAAAATCGAATGTCCGTGTCTTCCAAATTTGAAAGAGATTAGGCAGTTTGACGTCAGTGTTTGTGGTGTGTAGACGGGAGTTTTGTGAATTCAGCCATGTAATGGTGAGTGAATTGCGAAAAAAAAGTGTATTAGACGTTTAGTAAAGCCTTTTTAGTGTTATGAATTTATTTTCTACGTGGAATGCATAAACTGTGCTTTGTATAGAAGCGATTTAGTGAATGTTGTGTGTAGACAAAATTGATTTTTGTTTTTCGTTCGTTGCACAATTTTTTTTATATAATCTATATTTTTTTCTAAATTCTTTCCTTCTGTAGTGTGTGAAAATCAATATCTGGGCTGAGTTTCACGCGACCTTTGATAGCCACGTGGTTCCTACATTAAATCTGGTGGAGAATTCAAATGTTATGAAATGTTGCACATATTTCTTTAAAATGCATGTGTTACATAAAACTATACTACGATATTTTATTTATTTTAATGTTTTTAACATTTAATACAATTCTGAACTCACAGAAACCAATATAATATTAACTATATTGCTAAACGTTAATTAATATACTATATGTGCATGCAGAACTTAAATATGAAAAAAAATCTGATAAAATGCAAAATATTATATAGGACGTTATGAAAATATGTAACTTACTAGTTTAAAAAGGCATAGATGTTAAAAATAACATCCCTAGATTTAATTAAATTGCGAGTTTTTTTACTCTTTATTCAAAAATGTTTGTGTTTTGTGCATTAGAAAAGACAATTTTTGTAATTTTAATCGTATTTTTAGTACAAACAAAAATAACTGAATTAATTTAATCTGATTGTAAAAGAATTTCAACAAATTTGACACGCGATTTTCACGTTTAATTAATCTAAGTGTTTAACATGATTAAAATCTTGTAAATACCTAAATTAAGTTATTAAACGTTACGACAATTTTACTTTACTAACTCAAGCTCGCAACTTCCGCGCACAAATGAGTAAAAAAAAATTTACTAATTTTCAAGAAACGAGTACTGTTAGGAAGAAAATCCGACACTGTGCCGGTGAACTGGCACAACACAAGCCTTACTAAAATGTCGACGTCTATGTCCCCTGACTAATCACTGACACTTTGCAATATAAGCGCGCCATTCGCGCCAAAGGATTGTAATTAATAAATGTCTAAAAGTATGTACAAATTTTTGATACTTACAGCCTTTTTGGCATATTCAATTACTATTAATTGCCTACGACTCCATTCGCGTGATATACATAAAGCTTAACTAGTAGCCTATGTATTCTTCCAGAGTAAGTTCTATACGTATGCCAAATTTTAGCGACATCTATGTAGCCATTCTGAAGATATCTTTTAACAAATATACATCCAAACATTTGCGTTTATAATATTAGTAAGATTTATGTCATACGCAAGAAATTATTTCAAGAAAGAATTAAAATCATTTGCAATAACGATATCTACTTTCATCTCCAATTACTAAATGAGGTGAAGTCCCTAGTCCTTGTGTTATAACCTTGACGTTATCTGCAATATCTTAATAGATTTAATCTTTTTTTAATCACAAACTTACAACTTAAAGCAATTTAAGATGATTACAAATCAATTTATAAACAATTAAAATGATTATTATAGTATTTGACCTAGGTGGAATATTATTTATCGCTTTTTATATTTTAAATAGTTAAGTAAAAGTATTATAAATAGTCCGAGATTTTTATCGTAAGTACACTTATAAAAATATTTATGCTGTCTCTTCTAAGTAGTCTTTAATAAGAATATGTTTTCACATTTGTAGTATGTACAAAACATATTTATTAGTCGCGTCGGTGGCTCAGGGGTCAAGCACTTGACTTGCAATCTGCAGGTCATGGGTTCGAATCCCGCCATGTACCAATGTGTTTTGCGATTTCCGATTTACATATGTACATTTATACCGACGTTCTTACGGTGAAGGAAAACATCGTGATTCAACCTGCACATATCTGAGAAGATATTCAAAAATATGTGTGAAGTCAACCAACCCGCACTGGGCCAGCGTGGTTGACTACGGCCTAATCACCCTTAACTTAGTGTAGGCTCCGAGCCCCTCGGTGGGGACGTATAGCCAGCTGATGATGATGTTTTTTTAGCTGATCGCCCGCGACTCCATTTGCGCGGCATTGAAAAACTGAATAAGTAGATTATGTGTTCTTTATCGTTCGTTCTTTCAGACTATGTTCTACATGAGTGTCATCAAAATCCTATGAGCCGTTCCTAAGATACTTTCCATACATCCGTCCATGTATCCATCCATCTAAACTTTCGTATTTATAATATTAGTAAGACAGGAAGATTAATTTGTCAAAAGAAATCTACAGTTAATATTTCAAAACACTCAAATTATCGTGGGTTTCTGAGATCAAAATCCTTGTTTAAAACGTATTGTTATCTTGCTTTAGACATTATTAATTAGAATCCTTTAGCGCGAATGACGTGCTTACCTTACAAAGTCGAGTGTCAGAATAAATTGCGAGGGGACATAAACGTCGACATTTTAGTAAAGCTAGTGTTGAGTCAATACACTGGCTTATTTTCAGATTTTCTTCCTAACACTTGACATAAGGATAGGGATTAAGATATGTTTTATATAGATATTTTGGTCTCAGAAACCAACGTTTCATGATATTAATAGTTATAATATAGTGTACTTTTCTAATAGAAGCTATGCATAGTGATAGTTTTTTTTAAATTTAATTACATGTATAGGGGATGTAACTATTCTGTAAATTGAAGTCGTATGTTTTTCTAAAAATATAACATTTATCTTTTAAGTTTTGTAACACGTCATAGCAATTATAAGAAATTCAGTGACAAATAACCAAAGTATTTCGTACGTAATTGTGTTATAAATCTTGTCAAATAAATGAATCGTGACGTCATAAAGTATGTACAATTTAAGCCAGCTTTGCTAATACTTGTAGATTTGAATATATCGATAATATTTTATTATCAACTTTTCGGTGCAAAG